ATTCATGATGGGATCATCAAAGTAATCAAGGGCGCGTTTGTTGTGATGAAAGCTGAAAAGATAGCAGTCAATCTATACATGCTTAAAGGAGAAACACAACTACAAGGGGAAGCAGCTGTAACATCAGACAATCTTATAGAGGAATCAACAATGATGTGGCATCAGAAACTTGGCCACATGTCGGAACGAGGTCTAAAGATTCTTGTTAATCAACATCTTCTTCCAGGGCTAACAAAAGTTTCATTACCTTTTTGTGAGCATTGTGTTACAAGTAAGCAGTATAGATTGAAGTTCGAGAGCTCTAAAGCAAGGAGCAAAGCTATCTTAGAGCTAATTCACTCTGATGTTTGGCAAACACCAATTATATCCCTAGGAGGTGCGAAGTATTTCTTATCCTTCATCGACGACTACTCTACGAGATGTTGGGTGTATCCAATCAATCAGAAGGCGGATGTATTTGAAGTTTTCAAATTCTTCAAAGCGCGTGTGGAACTTGAATGCGAGAAACAGATCAAGTGTTTAAGGTCGAACAATGGAGTAGAATACACTAGTGATGAATTTGATAAATTCTGTTTGAAAGAAGGCATCAAACGACAGTTCACAATGGCGTATACTCCACAACAAAATAGAGTGGCAGAGCGAATGAACAGAACCTTGTTGGAAAGAACAAGGGCAATGTTGAGGACTACAAATTTGGCAAATTCATTTTGGGTTGAAGCAGTCAAGATTGCCTGTTATGTGATCAATCGGTCACCATCAACCGCCAATGGAAATGTGGGCGGGTAAGCCATCTAGTTATTTTCACTTACATACATTTAGGAGTCCGGCATATGTAATATACAACGACCAAGAAACATTAAAACTTGATCCAAAATCAAGAAAATGTGTTTCTTGGGGTATTCTGATGGAGTGAAGGGGTATCGCTTATGAGATCCCACTGCCCACAAGGTTATCATCAGCAGGCATGTTCTGTTTGTATAAGGCAAGGTACAAGAAAGTGAAAGCACTGGAAAGGAGAAACCAGACAACTACAGTACAAGTTGAGGGAAGGAAGGAAGAAGAAATTTCAGTTTCCCCTGAGTGTGCTATGTATAACTTGTATCTTGAGCAGTTGGATGTGAAAGCTGCGTTTCTACATGGAGAACTTGAAGAAGAGATTTTTATGCTCCAACCAGAAGGTTTTGAAGAAAAAGGAAAGGGAACTTGGTTTGCAGGTTGACCAAATCTCTATACGGTCTCAAACAGGCGCCGAGATGTTGGTATAAGAGATTTGATTCATTCATTTTGAGCCTGGGATACAACAGATTTAGTTCAGATCCTTGTGCGTATTGCAAGAGATTTGATGATAATCAGTTTATCATCTTGCTGTTGTATGTTGACGACATGTTGGTAGTAGGCCCCAACAATGATCGTATCACGGAGATGAAGGCTCAACTGGCTAGGGAATTTGAAATGAAGGACTTGGGATCAGCAAACAAGATTCTAGGGATGAAAATTCACCGAGACAGAAATAATAAGAAGATTTGGCTCTCTCAGAAGAATTATCTGAAGAAAATCTTGCGGCGCTTCAACATGCAAGATTGTAAGCCAATTTCTACCCTCTTTCTATTAATTTCAAGTTATCCTCAAGTATGAGTCCTAGCAACGAAGCATAGAGGATGGAGATGTCTCGAGTACCGTATGCATCAGCAGTGGGCAGTTTAATGTTTGCTATGATCTGCACTAGACCAGACATTGCACAGGCAGTGGGAGCGGTCAGTCGATACATGGCGAATCCTGGTAGAGAGCATTGGAGTGCTGTGAAGAGGATCCTTAGATATATCAAGGGTACCTCAGATATTGCATTGTGCTATGGAGGATCAGACTTCGTCATTAAAGGCTATGTTGATTTAGATTATGCAGGTAATCTTGATTGTAGTAAATCCACCACGGGTTATGTGTTTACTCTTGCTAGCGGAGCAGTAAGCTGGGTCTCGAAGTTGCAATCGGTTGTGGCAACTTCAACGACGGAAGCAGAATATATAGCGGCTACTCAAGCTAGTAAAGAGGCAATATGGTTGCAAATGTTATAGGAGGAGCTCGGGCACAAGTTAGAGAAAATGACTCTATTTTGTGACAGTCAGAGCGCTCTGTACTTGACAAAGAATCCAACATTTCATTCCAAGGCAAAACACATACGAGTTCAGTATCACTTTGTTCGTGAGAAGGTGGAAGATGGAAGTGTGGATATACATAAAATCCATACTAAAGATAATCTGGCAGATATGTTAACAAAGCCTATTACCAACGATAAATTCGTATAGTGTAGATCCTCAATTGGCATAATAGGAATGCAAGCAGCAGGGAATTGGCAAAAAGGATGAAGATCCACATTATGACTTTAAGTGGGAGATTTGTAAATATTAAAGTCAAATGCGGAATGGGCAGAGGTTTTGCCTGGGATGAACTTGGGAGGAGATTTCCTAAAGGAATTTGAGAGGAGATTTCCTAAGGAACTTGGGAGGAGATTTCCTAAGGGACTTGGGAGGAGGTTTGCCTAAGGGGAAAAACATGGGGCTAGTTCTGGGCATATGTTTTGGAGAAAACTTGCAGGGAAAGAATAGCATTTAATGCTTGGAATCTCTAGGCACATGAGTTCTAGCTTAGAAAAATCTAGACACATGAGTTGCTATAAATATGGCAACATCCTTCATTCATCATATCATTCCATCTCATTCGAAATTTACATAGAGTATAGCAAAATTCTGTAGAGAAAAAAATATAGAGTTATATTTGTAATTCTTATTGTATTATCATTTTGTCAATACAGAAAATTCTTCTTCAAATTGCCTTGTTCTGTGTATGATTTTTTAAATCTTACACTATAATTTATTCTCAATATTTCCAGTTCAAGTTGCTATTGTAAATTTGGTGTCGTAAATCCGTTTCGACCCTAACATTATGTGCGGCGTGGTACAGGGTATAACGATGGAATTCATCAAGTCTACCTAATAAAAGTGGCTGCCCTGGTAACAAACCCTTCGTACATCAAAATATCTTAATTAGCTTGGAAGTCCCTCCGAAAGCCCAAATTATCTTGGTATGATTAGTTCCCGAAAAATTATACAATGGACCACGGTCTAAATTATAATATGGATCATATATTGTAATTTATGCCCTTCAAGAGGAGCAATATATAGTCACATACATCTTAACAATTTAAGGGTAACATTTATATCACTTAGAATTGATGTGTAACATTTATAATTGGCCTATATATGGGAGGCATATATTACCATTTTTCCCTTTTTATATATTTATAGATTTTCTCCGCATTTCATTTCCTATGTTTTTGGAAATTTGTGTTCCCATGCATTTTCTGTACTAGCTACATAGATAAAAGTAGGGTGTGTGAGTGAAAGCTAATGTGTGAAACTTTCAAACCCATATTTTACTTCACGACTCGAGATATGGTATTTTCATTGATTTTTCTATATTATTTCATTGTCTTTGAAGTAATAATGTATTGAGGCTGAACAGTTGGCTTCTTGTGGAGAATAACTCACATAGCTGACAGAAAAAGTCTAAGTTGAACAAGAATTAATGTATCTGTATTCTATACCAAGATATTTGATTAAGGGTCATTCATAAATATCTTAATTAACTTATTAAAGCAAGCAAAAAAAGTAATATTTTTTTTAAATTTCAGACTTTGGGGTACCAAGAAATGTCTTTGTAATATTTCAACAATTTTGTTGACAGAGGATCAAAAATGGTCATGCCATAATAATACTAGGATCAAAGCGAGATTTTTTGAAAAATGACTAAAAGGGTACTGTCACTTATAAATCTAGGACAAAAAATGGAATTAACTCACAAATCATATTTAATAAATACACACAAAAATTTATCATTACATCCTCTAATAAATATGAAAAGATGATATTTCAAAAAAAAAAAATGAAAAGATGAAATAAAATATATTGTGGGCAGTATCCACCTTGGTAAATCCAAATATATAAAAATAATATGTAGGTACATAAAAATGACAAACAATGGTGAATCTATGACTTTGTTTGACAAACAATTAAACAATTGAAATTAAAGTGTTTAGTAAAATTAATTATTGAATTAGCTGATGAGTATAAAAAGACATAAAAATGATAAACTAATATGTTGGATTTTGATTAATGAAAAGTTTATTAATTTATAAAAAATGATACCATCTACCCTTCATTAATAAAAATCATAATATCTTAGTTTATCATTTTTTATGTCTTTTTACACTTATTAGTTAATTCAATAATTCATTTATCAAATATTTCAATTTCAATTTGTTAGCTTATTAGCTACTAGCTTTTCAGCTAGACGTGTCAAACAGAGTCATATGTATCTACTGTAGTGACTTTTTTGTGCTTACAATAACAACATTTAGGGTGTGTTTCGGAATGGGAATCAAATACTTGGTAATTGGAATGAGCTTTGTTGAAAGTATTTTCCATGTTTGGTAGTAGGGTGGAATTAGAACGATTATCAATATTTATGTTTGGTTATGTATAACCCTATAATCAGAATAAAGATTTTAAAAATACAAAAACAAAAAATCAAGCCAATTGATCTTAAGAGTGGCGATGAGGTGGGTAGGAAATGCAGTGAGGAAAGTCTATGAAGTGATGAGAGATGAGTGAGGATGCGACGAAATGAGGAGTTGTAAGGCTAAAATAATGGAATGATACCTTATTTCAATTAAGTAATGAGTACGTTTTATAATTATAGAGATAATCAAATTCTATATATGTGTTTTAAAAATTGTCAACCAAACACTAGTTTGTTTTATCCAATAATTTCCCAACGAAGATCGCCGGCAATTGCACAATGGCAGTGAGTATGCGTTAACGTGTGGTTTTTGTTTCTCTGAGAATTTCAGGCTGCACGGTAGAATTAGTCAACCAATACACCACCCACGGCTCCGGTGTACTATAAAATGAATACAAAGGAAGAAAGAAAGAAAGAAATTCCATCATAAGAAGAAAAGCTTTTATCAATGCTAACCATTGCTTTGCTCATTTATATAATACTCTTAGTTTCATTTCAGCAGATTTCCTTTGCAAGCAATACCATTAGCATTAGCACCACCCACTCCCTCAAAGATGGCGATACCATTGTTTCTTCTGGTGGAATCTTTGAGATGGGATTTTTTAGCCCGACCGGTTCGCAGAATCGCTATGTTGGCATATGGTACAAGCAAATGCAGCCTATTCCCACTGTAGTTTGGGTGGCCAACAGAGATACACCCCTCACTAATACATCATCAGGAGTCTTGAAGATCATCAATCCAGGCCGGCTAGCTCTTGTTGATGGCAGCAACACTTCCAACATTATCTGGTGTACTAACACTTCCAGATCAGTTGAGAATCCAGTCGCAAAATTATTGGATTCTGGGAATCTGGTGGTGATAGATGCAAATGATGATAACCCAGAGAGTTTCATGTGGCAAAGTTTTGATCATCCTACAGATACTCATTTGCCAGGCATGAAACTCGGACAGAATTTCGCTACTGGCCTTCGCATTACAATCTCAGCATGGAAGATGGAGAATGATCCAGCTACAGGGGAATATAAGGGTTCCCTAGATAATACAGGATACCCACAAATTATCTTAAGGAAAGGTAGTAAGAAAACATATCGATCAGGACCGTGGAATGGTTTGCAGTGGATTGGACTGGAAAAATGGGGCCTGTATGCTGAAATTTCTGTAGTCATTAATTCCAGTGAGGTTACCACTGGTTGTATGGGTCTTAATAGCTCAAAATTAATCAGGTTGGTCCTGACAAGCTCTGGGATTGTACAGTTGCATATAGGGGCTGATGAAACAGGTAAATGGAACAGCTTCCCTGCTGCACCAGTAGATGGTTGTGACAAATATGGATTATGTGGGGCATATGGGAGTTGTGACAATAATAAAAATCCTATTTGTGGGTGCGTTGATAAATTTTCACCTAGATATCCAGTAGCATGGGAAAGTTCAGATTTTTCAGGAGGGTGTGTTCGGAGGACACCTCTGAAGAATTGTCAAAATGGATCCTCATCCTCCTCAGATGGATTCAAGAAATACCCTGGTATTAAGTTGCCAGATACAGAGTTTTCAACCGTCAATACCAGTATGAATCTTCAAGAGTGCAGGCAAGTTTGCTTGAAGAATTGCTCTTGTATGGCTTATTCAAGTCTTGATATAAGCAATGGAGAAAATGGTTGCTTGCTTTGGTTCGGAGATTTGATCGACATCACTGTGCTACCTCAGAAAGGGCAGGATCTTTACATAAGGATGGCTCCCTCAGATTCAGGTAAATTTATTATGGGGTGTTTGGTAAATAGTTGTTAGCTGATAGGTTAGTGGGTTTGACTAGTTGATAGCATTAGAAAAATATTTGATAAATTAATTGTTAGTTGATAGCCGTAAAGGTGTCAAAATGAGTCCACCGGCCAACCCTAAATTGTCCCTCGATGGGACAGGTTAGGCCCTAGAAATTTTGGCCCACGAGAATGGAGGCTTTGGCCCGCGCGGGTTAGCACCCGCCGGCTGCGTACTTCTAATGTGCGTGAGTGTTGTGCTTAATATGCGTGAGATTTGTACTTAATGTGCATGAATGTGTAAAATGCAGCAGAAAATATGGATATCAGCTTCTTCCCCATCCCCAGTAGCCATTGCCCCCTCCCTGATGATGATGACCCATGTTTTAGTGCAGTTGAAAGGTTCTCGTCCACCACAACCCAATTTCCTGCCGAAATCATTGTTTTCTACTCTCCAAACCCACTGTACTTTTCGTCTCAATTCAACCACCACCATGATAACCGCCCCAAACACAATATAATGGTTTTGTAAGTGCCCTGAATAGTGAATACCACCATGGAAACCCAATCTGGACACCGTCTTTTGAATGGAGCGTTTAGGAGTATTATTTTCGGGAACTACTCACGCACATTAAGCACAAATCTCACGCATATTAAGCATTATACTCAGGCACATTAAGTACAAAACTCACGCATATTAACATGACGCACATTAAGTACAAATCTCAAGCATATTAAGCACAACACTCACGCACATTAAGTATAAACCTCACGCATATTAATCTACCGCACAACCGCACGGGAAGCAACAAATGCACCTGATCCCTTATATATATATATATATATATATATATATATATATATATATATATATATATATATATATATATATCTGAATTTGACCACACTTCCTCACATAAAGCCTTGTTCTCATAGAGTTAAGGACACATAGGGATGGCAATGGGTCGAGGGAAGACTACATCCATCACCCGACCCACCTTATATTTTCTCCACCCACCCCCACCTCCAACCCACACCGGGTGGACTTTTTCAAAACCCACACCCACCCCAACCGGGTGCGGGTGCCCACTACGGGTACCCACCACTTATCATCTTATTATTTTTTAAAAAATAATAATATTTAAATTACTTACACGTAATAAAATTCATTAGTGATAATAAAACATAAAATAATAGAAATATTTAAATATAATAACTAAATTGTTAATTTTAAAAAATAAACTTATTAGTTTAGATATAAAAATAGTAAAAAATACACGAAGTTATATAAACTTTTATAAATAATACATACTAGTACTTATTTTAGTAGTTACATAGACTTAGTACACACATATATGGTGGGTCGGGTGGGGTTCTAGACGGGTTTTGTACATAGAACCCGAATCCAACCTGACCCACCGTGGGTTTACTTTTTTAAAGACCCACACCCGACCCACCATCCACCATCCACCATCACCCAAAAAAACCCGATCCATGCAGGGTGGATTCGGGTGGATATGCGCGGGGCGAATTGAAATTGCCATCCCTAAGGACACACACACACACACACACACACACACACACACACACACACATATATATATATATATATATATATATATATATTCTAACCATTAAATACATAAAAAATTAAAATATTTTAATTTATAAACACGAAAAAATTTAATATTATTTAGGTTAAATTATTAGCTAGTTAGAATATAGAATAATAGAATAATAGAATAAAATATTTTTTTAAAATTTGAAAGTTGGCCCGCGGGCTGACCCGCGAGGCTTGTGAGCCCAAATGGAGCGGGCTAGGCTTGCATAATCATAGCTTGCGGGCTTCGCAAGCTGACTCGCAAAGGCCAGTGGATAAAAAAGTCCGCGGTGGGGCGGACGGGTCCACATTAACACCTCTACTGATAGCTGATTACATACAAAATAACTTTTTTTCGAAAAACTGATTTGAACATCTTTTTGAATCTTAGTGATTTGGAGCAATAATATAAGCTGTTACAAAAAGCTAATTAATCAAACACTCATGTGAATTGTTTTACCAAGTCAAACAGCTAACAGTGATCAAACAAGCCAAAATTGATTGATAGACTAACTATTTTACATTTTTACCGAACAGGGCCTATATGTTGCCACTAATTCAAAGTGACCAATTTCCCTGGGATTGATAATGCACCCCCTTTTCATTCTTTTTATTGGCAGATTATCCTTCAAGCTCAAAGGGCAATAAAACAAAAACAAAAAAATTGACTACATCAGTATTGGTTGGAATTCTGGTGTTGAGCTTGACCCTGACTCTGAGCATCATATTGTACAGAAGGAGAAGGAAGGAGATCCACTTAAAGCTAGAATGGGAACAAGAACAAACATTATTTGAAATATCTACAATAATAAGAGCTACTCATAACTTTTCACTCAACAACAAGATTGGAGAAGGAGGTTATGGACCTGTTTATAAGGTAGCAATACTACTCGTATTTTTCAAAATTATACTTATCACTTTAATTTCTACAATCTAAAAATACTTTTTCTAGGGTGTTCTGGATGATGGAAAAGAAATAGCTGTGAAACGACTTTCAAAAACATCTAAGCAAGGGCTTGGAGAATTTAAAAATGAAGTCAATTCCATTGCAAGACTTCAACATAGGAATCTAGTGAAGCTTCTAGGATGGTGCATTCAAGGAGATGACAAGATGTTGATCTATGAATATATGCCAAACAAAAGTCTTGACTCATACATATTTGGTATAATATTCCCATCTAAATTTTAATCAACTCTATAATTATGTTTGATCACTTCATCAATGTCAATTTGGATTTTAAAATTTTGGTTGAGAGCATTCTTTTAAGCAAGAAAATGTGTGCTTGGAATTGAAATTAAAGTTTCCTTCTTGGATTGTTTTTGTAGAAGAATATACCTAACTAAATTGTATTAATATCTTGGGCAGATAATAGAAGAAGTGCATTACTTGATTGGCCAAAACGCTTCAACATTATCAATGGCATTGCAAGAGGGCTTATGTATTTGCACCAAGATTCTCGATTAAAAATTATTCATAGAGATCTCAAAACTAGCAACATTTTGTTAGATATTGATATGAATCCAAAAATATCAGACTTTGGCTTGGCGAGGAGCATTGAATTAAACGAGATAGGAGCAAATACAAACCGAGTTGCTGGAACACTGTAAGGTTTCAATTTCATTTTGCATTCATTTGTTTGCATTTTTATCATTGAAGCTAACAAATTAAATTTTCAAATCCAGTGGTTATATGTCTCCCGAGTATGCAGGACACGGAATTTTCTCTATTAAATCAGATGTGTTTAGCTTTGGTGTCTTGGTACTAGAAATTGTGAGTGGGAAAAGAAATAGGGGATTTTCTCATCATCAAGATCACTATGAGAACCTTCTTGGCCATGTATGTCTATTTTGTATACATATTTATTTATTCATTAAGGTTTGAATTGAAATCTTGATGTACTAATTCATCTTTATGACAGGCATGGAAGTTTTATAGAGATGGTAGATCAATTGAACTTGTAGAAGATCATCTGGCTGAACCACAAGATTTGCCTCAACTTCTAAGATCAATCCAAGTTGGCTTGCTATGCGTTCAACACTGCCCTGAAGATAGGCCAAACATGTCTTCCATTGTTCATATGTTGACTAATGATGTTCAATTACCCATTCCTAAAGAGCCAGGTTTCTTCACAGAGAAAAGGGTAATTGAGTCCAATTCTTCAGACAAAGAAAAATCATGCTCTATAAATGAAGTCACCATCTCAGTGCTCTATCCTCGTTAAAAACGATGGTTTTATAATTGTATTGTTACTTTAAATTGCCTTGGGTTTGACGGTTTGTATTTCTTTTTCCAAGTTTTATAGGATTAAATGGTGTGATATATAGGAAACCTCTCATTAATTCAACATAACTGTCTCAGAAACCCCACTAATGTGTTAACTCTGAAACCCATGCATATTTTCACTCCAGACTTGAGATATGGTAATTTCATTGTCTTTCAACTTTCAAGTAATAGTGTAGTAATGTTGAACAATATAATTGGCCTAACTAGGTTAGCAGTTACCAGATATCAGCACCGTTGCTATCAACAAGAACTAGCCTGGCTGGACTGATGATCTTCAAGGCTACTGATGATGTGTTAGTGTCGAAATCAAGAGATAGAATAGAGAAGCGTGTGATTAAGCATTGAGTTCATGGAAATAAGAAGGTGAGCTGTGAATGTATGTTCATGTTTCACCAGAAAGAAAGGAAGCAACACTCCTTTTATAAGAGGAGGAGACAGTTATAACAGAATGAAAAGAAGCGAAAAGACAAAAAAGCCCTTGGCAGTTATTTCTGTTATTTCTTCCTCAGCTTAGCCTTGTTCCATCTTCGGCCTTAGCTAGTTTATTTGACATTCTCCATCACCCCCCCCCCCCCCCCCCGTAAGCTTGGAGTGTGAACATCACGAAGACCAAGCTTAAGTTGAAAAGCATCAAAAACTGGAGCTGGCAGAGTCTTTGTAAATCCATCAGCTAGTTGCTTCTGAGAGGGAATTGGTAGCAGTTTGATCAATCCCTCACTAACCTTTTGTTTGACAATGTGGCAATCGATTTCTATATGCTTTGTTCGTTCATGGAAAACATGGTTTTCCCCAATAGGCACTGCTGAATGATTGTCACAAAACAAAGATGTGGGAACATCAAAAGTAACCTGCAAGTCAGCTAGGAGATAATGGAGCCATTGGATCTCACAAAATGTTGATGCCAAGGCCCTATATTCAGCCTCGGAGGAGGACCTTGAGACAGTGGCCTGCTTTTTAGTCTTCCATGAGATTAAGTTGCTGCCAAGGTAAACACAATAGCCAGTGATGGATTTCCTAGATTCTGAACAATTTGCCCAATCAGAGTCTGAGAACCCTAGCAGCCTTAGCTTGGATTCTTTCTGATAGTATAAGCCCTTTCCTGGTGATCCCATTAGATATCTAAGCACCCTGTGTGCAGCAGTGAGATGAGTGGAAGTAGGCATATCAACAAATTGGCTAAGTTGCTGAACAGAATGGGAGATGTCTGGCCTGGTATTAGTTAGATACAGAAGTTTACCAATTGATTGCTGTAATTTGGGGCAAACAAATAATACCCGGAGTATTCGGGTTGTCGAACCACAGAGAGGTGGTGTACTAATCACTAGCTACTAGGTTACTCATATGAAACTAGTCCGAACAAACTTGAAGGTTGATTGATTGCATAAAATAACAAGCAGAATAAAATAAGTAGCAAGGTTTTGTAGACAATAGAGCAAAATAGGATTCTTGGGATCACAATATTTAATCACCTAGTGCCAATTAACGTTTGTATGTAATATTTGGTTTGGAATTAAGATTTGTATGGGAATGCAAAGTGGAATCGAATTACTCCCGTAATCTCTATTCCTAGTGAATTTCCACTCCCATGGCTTAAACACCCAATAAGATCAAAGATCAGCATTCAATTATTCCTAATTACTACCATCTCCCGATGAGCAATAATCTAGAATAAACTTCCCCTAATAAGTTCCCCTTTCCCAAGGACCAACCATTAGGTGCAATCGTGTGTGCCCTAATTTATGCCCCAATTCCCATTGGTGACACACACATGGCTGTGAAGCTAGTAATTTAGGCCTTTAACCACCAACAACAACAGATTAAAACAAGATTGCAACACAAATCATAAAACCAAACATAAATATATTAAGAAATTAACGAACTAGGCACATAGGTTCATAAACAAATTCACCCAAAAATCCCTAAGGAATTTAGCCGAGCATGGCTAAATTATACATAGCAAATATGAATAAAGGATTACAAATCATCAGAAGAGTACAAGAATTAACCAAGCGATTCTCCCAAATCTCCCTGGCTTCCTCCTTGCTTCCAAAGACGACTTGAGCCTCTCGATTTCTCTCTTTCTTGTCTACAAAGAACTCTCAAAATCTCTCGGTGTCTTTTAGGGTTGAGGAAGGAGGGATTTTATAGTGGGTACAAAGTTAAGATGAAATAGGAATCTTGTACAAAATTGGACTCAAATTATAATTCCTATATATAAAGAAATTGCCGACTTAATTTAAAATTGAAATTGGAAGTTGGAATTTGGAATTTGCTATTGAAGTTGATTGGAACTTGGAATTGAATGGGATTAAAGTTGAATTGCTGCCAACTCCCTTTTTGTCGTAATTAGGCCTGCTACTTCACGCCTCGCTCGACGCGTCGAGCTATGGCTCGACGCGTCGAGACCTGATGGTCTCGACTTCTGATGCTACTGGAAATTTTCGACGCGTCGAGTCCTCTGGGTCCCGAACTTGTCCAAAATTGCTCAAAACTCATCCTTGAACTTCCCTTGCTCATATCTTTGACCTAAAATGGTTCAAAAACACTAACAAACACCGTAAAACATTCAAAACAAGTGTGAACCATAATTAAATGATAATAGCAAGGAAAATATGTATTAAATAAGCAAAATTAAAGAACTTAAATACTGAGATGATTCAAAATAACTATAATAACAAGCAAAGATGTGATAACATCACCCCCTCACACTTAAGCTTTTGCTTGTCCCCAAGCAAAACTAAGGAATAAAATCACAAGTCAAAACATACAAATTACTCATGCTCTCTCTTGCACAACCTTTCAAACCACCAACCCACTTGCTACAAAACAACAAGCTTCAAGAATCAAATTAGTTTGGCACATAAGAGACCCATTTCCAAGCCAATAACCAAGCACCAAGAATTTAATGCATGTGAGGATCAAATGTGCACAAATACTCAGTTGAGATTATGCAAGATACGGTTCATGAATGAGATCCCTTAGGCTTGCCTTTCATACTCCCCTAGATCAAATCTAAGAATGCATGCTAAGATCAAATAGGACTTTATTTAGCTTGTAATGGGGCTACGGGTGATGGCTAACAAAGAAGTGGTATGGAAAAATTAATCAAAAAGAGAGAATGTCACAATTTATCTAAACTTTTCAAAATTTGGAAGAGATGAGATAATCATAATTCCAAGGAGCAAATTTCTTTTAAGAACTTAGCAACTCTTTGGTAAAGTGGGGATCCAAACTCAAAAACTTTCAATTTTTTTTTTTTTTTTTCATTCTTTTCTTTGCCTTTGGACTTCTTTTGGATATAGCAAGATAATTTTAATCCAAACTTTCATGACCTCCACACTTGAACATTTGTAACACTAGCTGCTTCTTTTTTGTAGCACAACTCCATAAAAACTCTTCTTACAGAAAAGATAAAGATAAAAGTTTCATTCTCTCAAGGGTGGATGGGAAATATTTGGCCAAGGGCTAAGGGTTATAATAATGGGGTAAATCAAAGAAAAACAATCACAAAGAGGGGATAAGTGCTTAGCACTTATTTGAACAAACAAAAGGCACAATGGGGAAACGAAGGATAAAAATATATATATATAGGGACAGGTTTAAAGGCTATGGCTAAACAATAATGGCCTAAATCACTTCAAAACATGCAAATCTTAGACATCACTTAGGGAGTAATGAGGCAAGTTCTAGCAAAACACCCATGACCGGAATCTCACATAAGCCTTTACTAGCAATGCAAAACACAAGATCAAATTAATCCAATTATTAAGTGGTTAACAAAGCTATTGGCAAGGGAATAGATCAAATATGTGTTACACCTCAAATCATCCATCACAAATTGAGATGCAGCAAGCACCACTAAAACAAACCACAAACCAACAAGAGAGAATAATTGTAACTGCATGCTAAGACAAGTAACTTATTCACCAAAAATAGCATATGAGTCATCCAAGCAGAAGCAAAAAATTTTAAAAATTTAGAAATATCCCCAGAAATATCCCCAAATTAATGATTCCTCCCCCTCACACTTAAAACTTTGCATCGTCCCTGATGCAAAAGAAAAGTAGAACAAGAGAAAAGAGAAAACTAAAAAGCAATAAAATAATCACGAACTAGAAAGCAATAAAACTAAATAAAATGAATCTAGAAAGCAATAAAATTAAACTAGAAAGCAATAAATATGAAAGAAATAAAAGATAACATGGGGTGCCTCCCATGAAGCGCTAAGTTTAACGTCGCTACCTCGACCTAACCTGGTTATGGAGTGCTCATCCTGGTTGATCCGCGAGTTTGATCTCATCACCCCATAGACTCTTCAAATGCAAATACTCATCATGGGTCACCTTGAGAGTAGGGTCGATGTGCAAAATTGACTTGCACTCAATGATTTTTGGCTCATCAAGAACATTAAATTCCACCTTTTCCTCCCCAAAGTCAAAAATCATGGACCCTTTCCTTGCATCAATCATTGCTCCAATAGTGGCTAGGAAGGGTCTCCCCAAAATGAGTGGAACGTCTAAGTTCCTTTGGACATCTATCACAATAAAATCACAAGGCACAAAATACTTGTCCACACGAACTGGGACATCTTCAAGAATTCCAATAGGCTTTACGATGGATCTATCCGCCATTTCTAAGGTGAATTGGATTGGTTTTGGTTCTCCCAACCCTAACCCTTGACAAAGAGTAAGAGGCATAACACTCACACTGGCTCCTAAATCACAAAGGGATCCCTTTAAAGGTCGGCCTCCAATCACACAAGGAATTGTGAACTTCCCCGGATCTCTATGCTTAGGTATATTCCTCCCAATTCCCGGGGTCAACGCTTGGTACTCTTGTGCCACAGCTACCATCTCTCGTTCCCTATATTTCTTTTTCTTAGCTAGAATCTCTTTCAAAAATTTTCCATAAGAGGGAACTTGTGAAAGCAAATCAAGTAAGGGAACTGAAACTTTCAAACTCTCAACAATCTCCAAAAACTTTTTCCACCTACTTTCTTTTGTTGTTTCAAGATTTTGAGGAAAAGGCAATGGGGGTACATACCTTCTCACAGGTTTCTCTACTTCCTTTTGAACTTGTGGATTATTTTGCACAG